CCGTATTTGATTTTTGGAGATCAGCACCACCTCCAAGAAATCCTGGTTACTTTAGCAAGAAAAATCACATACTGTTGACATCAGTTCCCAGAAGCATCGGAAGGGGCTATCTACCTATGCAAGTATAAAAGGAACAAAACAATGAAAACAAGCATATACTACCTCAATTAATCAGCTAACATGCCAGTTAATCGCTACTCGTAGGGTGGCCGAATCGAATAGCACCTATTCATCGTGTTAACTTATTAGGCCGATTAATTGGCCTGTTAGACCAATTAATTGGCATATTAGGCCGATAAATTGGTTGTTAGGCTGATTAATATCATTGCTGACCCATTATCTTGTTGGCAGACAAAGCCCAAAATTTTGCCCCGTAACCCCTCCCATCCTCCTCTCTCTCTCCTCAATAGCTAGGGTTCGATCAAACAGTAGGATATTTTGTTATACTACATAGCTGAGAGCATGAGAGTATGGTACAATACATAAAAAACTAGATATATATTGGCTATTCCTATTTAATCTATCGATTAATGGTCGACCGATTAATCCAGTTAATAGGCCGATTCATCAATTAATCACTACTCCCAAGCCTACCGAGCAGCTACCATTTACCGATTTCCTTAACAATACCTCATAGTATATGTCAATCTGAAACCTGATGATTGAAAAGGCAAGAGATGCGGGGAAGTGGGAACTCTTAACTGGAAGAGCATTGTACCACCCAGAAGGCAATTCCCCTGACACTATGCTATGGCGTCACATCTTTGCATAGCGCATACTATGCAAACTCTGCATTCCGTTCAGCTCCAAGAGATACACCCTGATCAATATGGTGACCTGCCAATGCATGTGGGGGTTGGTTATTTAACTGGAAAAAAAATCTTAATTTCAGTCATATTCTATTTCTATGTAATAATTTCGAGTTCAGATTGACATTATTTATGTCAGACAAAAATGAAGTCTCTACTGTAGACCAATTTTCAACAAGTTACTCAAATCTGAAAATAGCATTACAAATAGACACTCGCTATTTCCATATTTGTACCAGTCACAAAATTGTAGAATGTAAATGGGGAAAACATATCCTAAACATAATCAAGCATGCATGTTTCAGAAGTGATGTTCTAGTTCTGAACGGTTCCCTCTTAGTTTTAACAGTTTACTATTATAGAATACAACAGAATAATACATAATGTGAAACCCATCATTTTCCAATATGTTCATCCAATAAAAATGATTTCTGAACTAAAATAGGTTACCATATGTCCTTGAAAATTGATTATCCAATGCCTGATAATCATTTAAACTGATGCAACATATCTTAGTATTTACTCTACATGGCAGAAATATTTCCTAAAGCAAATTTGACATCAATAACAGTATAAGAAGCACGCATATTTCGAAGCTTCCCACCCCTGCTAGAATTTGCATCACACATGATGCAGAGCGCTCCCATGCGAATGCTCTCCCTCCACGGCCCATGCTCTCGCGCCACACATAGCTGGCTGCCGCCGCACCTCGTGCCTCTCCACCGATGAGCTCGTCGGTCCGAGGTGGGTCGTCGAGGGAGGATCCATCGCAGGAGAATCTTTGAAGCCTACTTGCATTCTCTCAGAGAAGCGAGAGGGGGCGGAGGGATGAATCCCGTGGATTGGATCCCTTTTTCGATGCAACTTCGCCTGGTGCGGGCCGCGACGGTGTTGGAGGCGAAGCGTGTGGCCAAGGAGAGACGAGACAGGGCTTACGATGTGCCGGGCCATGCTTCCCCGGCTGAGATGGACCGGGTTTTTTTGCCGGAGACAAGGTCTACCTTGGAGGAGGTGGCATCCAGATTACTTATGATCACGTATCCTCCTTGAGACTTTGTTGTGTTCCTTTTGCGGGCTTGTTATGTTGATGCCCCCAGCTAGTACTATCTATTTTTCCTTTTCGAACCTATTTGTTTTTCCTGTGGAACTCCATTCGCTGTGGCTGTATCATGTTGTGGCTCCATTTACAAAGCAGTGCAAGAACTCTTTTTCGGTACCTTGGAGGAGGTGTTTTTTTTTTGAGAATGTGGAGGAGGTCGTTGGAGGAGGTGAACATATGTAAACTTTGTGATGAATATGACCGAGGAAGCTGTTGCCAATATTGATCAACTTCTTCATGTATTGCAATTGCACCCATCATTTTACCATTTTAATTAATACAATATCAGTTGAGCCCATCTCTCTAACTTAAAAGGTACTTGAAATTTAAGTCATGAGAACTTAACTGAAATTAATTTTATTGTAAGCTTCAATGATTCAATTTTCCATTGTGAGATAAATATTTACAACATTTTGTATGCGGATGTGCCTGCAGCAACGTGTTGGGAGTCATCTAGATTTTTACTATGGCACAAATATTTCATAATAGACCCTGTAATACCAATTTCACATAATTAATAAATGTTGGCAAAATGTTCCATAGTGATTGTCAAACTTACAAATATTTGACTGACCAAACTGTAAAACAGCTTACAGTTTCGAGCAGAAGGCCAACTCATTTATAATCTCAACAATGACCTATGTATTGCTTCTGTTCTTTACATCTCCTTTTGCATATTGCTTCTATGAGTTTAGAAGCTGCAATTTTCAGCAAAACCTAACATGGCACGAAACTAATCATGTCACGGCAAAATTGTTTTGAGATTGCATGACGGAAGATCACAAGAAAGTCTTTTCTACATCGGCCATCACCCAGCTATCAATCTCATTCTTGAGCTTAGACTGCAACTCGAACGTCCCCTTCACGAGGACGACACACATCCTCTCAAGCACAAGCGCGTTGCGGAACAACAGCCTGGCCATCATCCTTTGTGTCTCGTCACCCACGTAGTGCACCATGTTGATCTCCTTCATTCGGTGCCGCAGACACGGCATCGAGAAGCTTGCCTCATCAGGAACCATGAACTCGTAGGGAGCTACGAACAAATCATCGCTCTCTGCATCCTTCTCCTTTTCCACAACGTCATCCTCATATTCCTCGCCCATGGTGCCATATTGATCTTCGGTGTCCTTAACGCGCTCTTCCATGTACAGCGACAGAATCTCCAGGTTTGGGGTCTGCTCCAGGATTCTACCCACTGAGACGACAATGCAGCAACTATCAAGGGGCCCTTGCAGCACGAGCCGCGTCAGGCTAGAGAACGAGGGGAACCCCAGGAAGAACCTGCTCTCTAGACTTCGGTTGTGCAAATGCAGGTACTTGGCATCAGATATTTTCTCCATAAACCCTCTGAACCTGGTAAACTCCGCCTCCTGGGAGAGCGCTATGCAGAAGTCGACCGTGCACGAAGGGACTCCCCGCAAACCGTGCAAGGACAAGAGCGACTTGGCGGGCACCGTGCCACAGTAGTCCAGCGACCTCAGCTCCGACGCGCCGATGTCAACAGACTTCACGTTGTGACAGCAGCGAAGGGCGAATCTGCGGAGGCGTTTGTCGAGGACCGATACTCTCTTCAGGCGGTAGATACCTTCCAGCGTGAGGTCGATGAGGCGGGGGCAGCTGGAGATCAGCCGCTGGATGCTTCTCCCACCGTCGCAGTGGGGAGCCGTGATGCTCAAAGTCTCGAGGAGTGGCAGGTTGACGGCCGTCGGCAGTTTCAGCCGGCAACAGGCCACACGTAGCGTCCGTATGACCGTGCAGGTGAAGAGCCTTCTTGGGAGCACATACGTCCACAGCCTACTCATCTTGTCATACTCATCCTCGTGGTCAGAGTTGTCGGTGCCGCTGTCCACCACCCCTTCCTCGCGGCCCTCGTCGTGGCCCTCGTCATCTTTGCGGCTACAGATCTGGCCGATCTGGAAGCGCAGGTCGAGGTGGAGCTCCTGGTTGCTATGCCGCAGCACGTAGGAGAGCCACTGGTCGACGTGGACGAAGTCCCAGTGGTGGCAGCTGTCGAAGGCGAAGCGGAGGCTGCGCAGAGGCACGTGCTGCCCGGCGGTCCGGCGGCGGCAGAGGAGCGCGGAGCAGACGTCGTCGAGGAGCGCCGCGCTGCCGCTCTTCTTCTCCTCGGCCTCGTAGTAGTCGGAGCTCCAGTCGTCGGCCCTCTCGCCCTGACTCTCAGCGAACGAGATGGTGTGGACGTTGCAGAAGATGTCGCGCCACCGCCGGGACAGCCCGGCGGCGCGGCCGGCCTCCTTGTTTGGGAGGAAGGAGAGGACGTGGCCCAGCAGGAAGTCCGGGAGGTCGCTCAGGCGATCCCTGCTCCCCGGCGCCGGCGGCGTTGACGAAGCCATATCGATTTTGCCGCAGGGTTGTTTGGATCCGATCCGGCAATCTAGCCGTCGATCTGGGTTGGCATGCAGTCCAACTTATATATAACGACGGTTTCTCCAGGGTTTATGTGCGTGGGCCCTAGTCTTTTGACCGACTATATGAACCGACTATGGTCTCCAGCGACGGAGTAGATTACAATTCGGTTAAGAGGTCGAGGAGGGATCGGAGGCGGCGGCGGAACTCGGAAGCGTGACATAAAAGCGCACGGGCCGCTTCTGATCTGATCTTGATTGATCTCGACGACGACGACGATGGCGCCGTCGCACAGCGAGGGGCAAGACAGGCTGAGCGCTCTCCCCGACAATGTGCTGCAGCGCGTCCTCTACCACCTCCGGTCCGACGAGGCCGTGCGCACGGGCGCGCTCTCCCGGCGATGGCGCGACGTCCACGAGGCCGTCCCCGTTGTCGACCTCGTCGACACCAAGACGGGCGACCGGAACTACGGGAGACTCAAGGTCTGCTTCGACCAAAAGGTGGCGTGCGCGATCCTCAGCAAGGGAGCGGAGACGCCGATCCGCGCCCTCCGCCTCAGCAGCGTCCTGAACCCCCCGCGCGACCAGCTCGACCAGTGGATCGCCTCCGCCGTCACCTCCGGCGTGGAGGACCTCGACGTCAAGCTCAGATACAAGGGTAGTAACTGGGGACCCCCCACGCAGCCGCTCTGCCCATTACGCGAATATGAGCGAAGCGACAGTAAGATGTACGCCAAGACTCAGCGGCTGATCTTCCGCTGCCGCACGCTCCGCCGCCTGCGCCTGACGAGCTGGACGCTGGACCTGCCGGGGAGCGTGGACATGGCGTCGCTGGACACGCTCTGCCTCGGGAGGATCGTCGACGGAGGCGGGATGCTGCAGCGGCTGCTCTCGAGCTGCCCGCGCCTTGCCAGCCTGACGCTGGAGGAGTGCCAGAGCATCAAGGAGATCACGGTGGCCAGCCCCTACCTGCGCAGCTTCGCCATGATCTGCTGCCACAATGCCACGGGCGTCGAGCTGCACACCACCTGCCTGAACTCGCTGCACTACAGAGGCGGCCTCCCTCCTCGCGGGCCGTCCTTTATCACGGTCCCAAACTTCTTGGCAGTCGCGGCGCTGAGGATTGGAATCTGCGAAGACCTTTCCAGCAAAGGACCGTCGGAAGTCGCTCCAGTGACGACGCTCATCAGCAGGTGCAGACGCCTGAGATATCTTGAACTTTCCTTGCACCCATCAATGGCCTACTACAGCAGCCTGCTCACAAGCGTCTTGCGCGGACTAGACAACCTCACAGAGCTGAGCCTCCAGGGCAGATTGCCCACTGATCATGCTGTCCGGTCTGTCGCCGCCTTGCTTCTCAACGCCAAGAACCTGCAAGTGCTGTCGCTGTTCCTTCTGGGTCCATATGATCGGATGGCATACGATTTGTCTGATGCTGAATCAGAGACTGATCTGTCGGACACCAATTCAGATGGCGAATATGGTACCTACCCAGATGGCGAAATAGATGCCGTTCCAGATGGCAAAACAGATACCGATCAAGATGCTGATCCAAATGCTGAAACAGAGACCGAGTCAGGTGGCGAATCAGAGATCGAGCCAGATAACGAGGCAGATGGTGAACCAGAGACTGAGCCAGATGGCGAACAAGATATGGAGCCCAAGGACAATGCCATCAACAATGGCGTCAAGGATAGTACCGGGATACCCCCCAGTCTGTGGCATATGGACGTCAGGTGCTTGGATCGCAGTCTGAGAAGAATCAATATTGCCAACTACAGAGGACTGCCTCTCGAAAAGATGCTTGCGAAGTTTCTGCTTTCCAAGGCTGCAGTGTTGGAGGAATTCTCAGTTACGTTAGCAGCTTGGCTTGAACCACGGGAGGATAATAAACTAGCAAAGGAGCTAACATCCTGGCTATGTGTAGGCCGTACCAGAGTAACTTGTATCTATTCAAAGAAAAAAAAAAGGAGTAACTTTTAACTAGCCTGCAGCAAAATCAAAAGCTGCCTGCACTTGTAAAAAGTAAAATTAGAAAGAAATTTATTTTGCTATTTTTTGGGGGCACACCAGATACAGTAGATATGATTTGTTATTTGCTTGAATATTTATCTGTTAAATAAATTTGTACCTCCCTCAAGTCTTCAAGAGGCGGGGTATTCCCTTTTCAGGAAAAAGATATCCTTTAAATTTACTTTCTTTCTTAGTGACAGTTGGACACGGCAACCCAACTAGGACCTGATGAGCAATTAACGTCAGAAACAGCATGTTCATATGTTGCAGAAGGCAGATAATTCGAAAACAAAGAAGGAAAATAACACAATGCAGAAGGCATATTTGATGTTGCAAGATCAGCGCTATCCAAGAAATCCTGGTAAATCTAGCAAGAACATTCGCCTACGATTCAGAACATTTCCCTGAAGAATCAGAAGGGCTATCAGCAAAAGCAAACAAACAGAACAGAACAATGAAAATCCAACATATGTTATTGACATCGGATGAAATATTGAATGGGCGGACGTGGAGTCCAGAACACTAACTCGAAGGGCATTCTCCCACCCAGAAGGAAGCTCCTCTGAAATTATGCCATTGTCCCAGCAGCCTCCTGGTGGCAATTCTTTGCATAGAGCATACTCTGTGTATTGTCATTACATTCGGCTTTCAGGAGATGCACCCTCATCTATGGTGACTTTCCAATGCCTGCGAGAATTGATTTATCTAATCAAACTCCTGTGGCAATGGAAAAAGTTTAATCATATCCTATTATTGTGCAATAATTTTGAATCGGACTTGCAATACTGATCTGGAACAAAACTCAGGTCTACTGGACAACAACTTTTCAACAGCTTATTCAAAGCTGAGAATAGTATTAACATTCACCAGATAGTACTATTTGTCTTGCCAAGACTATTTATTATCAGCGCCCACTATTTCCATATATGTGCCATTTACAAAATTGTAGATTGGAAAGCATGATAGTTTTAGAAGAAAAAAAGTGTTGGTTTCTTCATCTTTATTTGAGCCAATAGCCAAACTACCACTAGTAAAAACCACAAGTGCCAAAATACCACTATGAAAAACCAATGTGCCAAAATAGCACTCACTTGAAAATTTTCATGCCAAGATACCACTATGAGCTAACTGAGACTAACAGATGGGTAAAAATACTACTTTGCCCTTTACTGTGCGCTCGAGGCTGGACAAGGGAAAGGGGCCGGCGCAGCCGTCCTCCTCCAGCTCAGTCGGCACTGGCGCGCGCTCGCCGCCGCCGATGAAATCCCCCAGGAAGAGGCGTGTCTCCCTCCTCTGCATTGTCAGGCGCAGCCGCACCACCGAGCTCACCGCCGCCCGGCCGCATCTCAGCTTAGCCACCTGCTCTGCGCGCCACCTCCAGGCTCCGCCCGCCACCACTGCTGCTGCGCTGCCACAACCCTGCTGGCCACTGTGCCTCGCAGCATCAGCAACTAGCAAGCGGCGGCGGCGCCGTGCAGCCACATGGCGCAGTGGCAGCAGCTAGCCATGGCAAGCAAAACACACGCAGTGGGGCGGCGATGGGTTGGATGCGGGGAGGAGCTGGGCGGGCATGGCGTCACGCACTGCATGGTGGGCGGTGTTGCGGCACGCAGCTGTTGCAGAGCGGCAGCTCCATGTCGCTGGGAACGGCATGGATACAGCGGCGGGGCGGCCGGCTTGCCGCGTACAGCAGTCGTGGCTAGAGCTCGGGTCAACGAAACAATCTCCGACCACTTTGACCAGTACAAGCTAGCCTCCATGGCCACGGGCAGCAGTGCACACGCTCAGAGATAGCATGAAGGGTACTTTTGGCAAAGTAGAAAAAACTGACAGCTCCATCCACCGTTGACTAACAGAATCTGTTTGACGATAGACGGTAGTGCTATTTTGGTATGAAAAATCTGAACTTGAGTGCTATTCTGGCACTTTGGTATTTCATAGTGGTATTTTGGCACTTCTGGTTTCCACCGGTGATATTGTGGCTATTCTCTCTCTTTATTTAGTTGTATTATAATGAAAATATGGAATTGCTCTTGTATTTTCACACTTTCTTACCGATTTACTGAGCACAATGGGCATCAGAATAAATAACCGCATTCTCATAGTGTGCTGCTGCCCTTTGTCAGAACCTACCAGACCAGCCACATGCAACAATGACTAACTGCTTGTTATCACACTACTGGAAGTGAATTTTGAAGTTATAAAAGGATCACTGAACTGTAAAATACATAATTTGTTTGATCATGTAGCAAACCAATTTGGGACTTCAGAGCACCCGGTAGAAATTGTTCTGTGGACTTGGTAATTCAACAGCGGACCTGACAATCGGTCAACTCATTCATTCAGATATACTGAATTAAACATCCCCAAATAAACTGAACGTGTGGAATTCCCATAGAAAAGAGAAAGGCATCGGCTGCAGCCTTAACGTTTATTGCTTCTCCTACTTCAAATATGCAGAACTAATGCTAGGGTATGCACAATGAGAGGATAAACTTATACATGAACGGGAAGGGGGCTGCTGGCCGGGGTTGAACCCGCGGCCGAACAGGAAGGGGGCTGCTGGCCGGGGTTGAACCGGATGAATCCGCCGAACGGGGAGGTGGCACAGGGAGGCGAATCTTCCAACGGGGAGGCCGGAGTTGGCCTCAACCGCGGCAACCTTCACATGGCCAGGAACGGCGCGCATTCTGTTCTACGCGGCGGCCGCCAGATCTACTGGAGGCCAGTCGGGCACGTGTGGTTGGGCGGCGCGGGAGTTGAAGGCTACCGCCGGAAGCGGCAGAGTTCTGCGTCGCGGGCTCGCGGTGGCTTTGCGAGTGTGGTGCGCAGTGCTGCAGCCACTTGGTCGATAAGGAAAAAAAAAGGCGAACAATCTATAAATTATATTCTTACCTAAGAGCATCTCCAACCGACGCGGCAATTAGTCTTTTTGCGCGCGCTATCGCTCCGGATGCTCCGGCGGAGGCGTAAAAACCGCGCGCGCGGCATAACTAGTTCAGCGCGCGGGCGAAAACGCCATCGCGCGCCGTTTATTTGCCGCGCCCGCTCCCGCGTGTTGGACACTCCAGCGCCCGCTCGCAACTCCACCTACCCCATCCAGCCGCGGCGCCGCCGCCGCCCGCGTCATCCCATTTCTTCCGACGACCGTTTCGGCGCCTCCCCGGCCTATCCCGCGCCGCCGCTGCTTCCTCCCTCTCTCTCTAGCCATCACCGCCACCCCTCGCGCACGGCAGTCGTCCGACGAACAACGATCGGCCGCCCACTGCCTCTCGGCGCCCGCAAGGTGTTCGACAAAACGCCCGCAAGGTATGTATTGCTTCAACTTCACATGTTTTACATGAATTTGGTGCATGTTGTTTGTAGTTTTTATAGTTTAGTTTAATTAAACATTGTAGATGAGTTTGTCATATGATTCTTCCAAAGTAGAATTTATGGAAGAGGAGGAAGATCTTGCAATGATCCTCGTTATGCACATCAATAAAAAACCGAAGCACAGTGGTTCGGTTATGGGTCGGTAGAAAATTTGGAGGGATAGGACCGATGCCAACAACAGATTGATCAGGCACTATTTTGCGGATAATCCCGTGTACCCCGAGTCGTACTTTCGGCGCCGGTTTAGGATGAGCACCGAGTTGTTCAGGCGCATTGCCGAGAAACTAGCGAGTCATGACCGATTTTTTCAGCAAAGGAGGAATGCCATCGGAGAGCTCGGGCATAGCACCTTTCAGAAGGTGACAGTGCTTTGCGTATGTTGGTATACAGTATCCCCATTGATCTAGTTGATGATCACTTGGCCATGGTGTTGGGGAACATACTAATTTCAAAAAAATTCCTACGCACACGCAAGATCGTGGTGATGCATAGCAACGAGAGGGGAGAGTGTCGTCCACGTACCCTCATAGACCATAAGCGGAAGCGTTATGACAACACGATTGATGTAGTTGTACGTCTTCACGATCGACCGATCCTAGTACCGAGCGTACGGCACCTCCGCGATCTGCACACGTTCAGCTCGATGATGTCCCACGAACTCACGATCCAGTAGAGCTTCGAGGGAGAGTTTCGTCAGCACAACGGCGTGATGACGGTGTTGATGAAGCTACCGACGCAGGGCTTCGCCTAAGCACCGCTACGATATGACCGAGGTGGATTATGGTGGAGGGGGGCACCGCACACGGCTAAAGATCAATGATCAACTTGTGTGTCTTGGGGTGCCCCCTGCCCCCGTATATAAAGGAGCAATGGGGGAGGCGGCCCGCCAAGGAGGAGGGCGCGCCAAGGGGGAAGGGAAGGAGAGGAGGAGAAGGAAGGAGGAGGCGTCGCCCCTTCCCCCTAGTCCAATTCGGATTAGGCTTGGGGGGCAGCCCTAGCCAGCCCCTCTCTCTCTCCCTAAAGCCCATTAAGGCCCATAAGCTCCCCAGGGGGTTCCGGTAACCTTTCGGTACTCCGGTATTTATCCGGTGACCCCCGGAACCCTTTCGGTGTCCGGATATAACCTTCCAATATATCAATCTTTATGTCTCGACCATTTCGAGACTCCTCGTCATGTCTGTGATCTCATCCGGGACTCCGAACAACCTTCGGTACATCAAAACACATAAACTCATAAAACCAATCGTCACCAAACGTTAAGCGTGCGGACCCTACGGGTTCGAGAACTATGTACACATGACCGAGACACGTCTCTGGTCAATAACCAACAGCGGAACCTGGATCCTCATATTGGCTCCTACATATTCTACGAAGATCTTTATCGGTCAAACTGCATAACAATATACGTTGTTCCCTTTGTCATCGGTATGTTACTTGCCCAAGATTCGATCGTCGGTATCTCAATACCTAGTTCTATATCGTTACCGGCAAGTCTCTTTACTCGTTCCGTAATGCATCATCCCGCAACTAACTCATTAGTCACATTGCTTGCAAGGCTTATAGTGATGTGCATTACCGAGAGGGCCCAGAGATAC